TCCACCTCCCAGGTTCAAGAGATTCTCCTGCCTCAGCCTCCTGAGGAGCTGGGATTACAGGCGTGTGCCACCACGCCTGGCTAATTTTTTTTGTATTTTTAGTTGAGATGGGGCTTCATCGTGTTGGCCAGGCTGGTCTCGAACTCCTGACCTCGTGATCCGCCCACCTTGGCCTCCCAAAGTGCTGGGATTATAGCCGTGAGCTGCTGCGCCCGGCCCGAACTCTTGACCTCAAGTAATCCACCTGCCTCGGCCTCCCCAAAGTGCTGGGACTGCAGGTGTGAGCCACCGCGCCTAGCCAGGTTTGTTTTTAATTTAAAGGGCAGTATTTTATCTGCTGTTACCTAGTTACCATTCATTCATGATTTCTTTTTTCCCTCAGGACTCATTTTGATCCCTTTTGATCCTTTTTTTTTTTTTTTTTTTTAAACAGGTAATGTGGAACACAGCTGTCCACTCCGAATTCATGCACGATCATGCTGATTATGGCTTTCCAAGTTGTGAGGGTAAATTCAATTGGCGGTAAGTGTCAACACTAAGAGGGTTCAGTTTCCAAGTACAGATATTTTTCTTTCTTTCTTTTTTTTTTTTAAAGTACAATTTCCATTTTATTTTTCTCCAGAGAAGAGTCTGTCTCAGTCTTTAAGGACTCAGCTCCTTACATGGGCTTTGGTGGGGGACGTGGGGCAGCACCCGCAAGTCTAAATCGGGGAGGGGGTGTTCGGTCCTTGCGGGCTTCACGAGATCGATTCCTGACTACTTTGCTGTGAATTGAACGACTCACACAGTAATGTAGCTTCACATACAGCTTGGAAAGCACATAGGCATCGAAGACTGCTCACTTCAGAAATGTCCCTGACTGCTGCGGCCTCCACTATGTTTCGAATGACGAATTTCTTAATGGCCTTGTCCTTGGTCACGCATCGGGCACAGTTAGTGCAGCGAATAGGCTGCACACGGCCGCGGCCCTTTTTGGCACGACCGTTGTTCCTTCTGTTCTTTGTCATCTTGGATGTACGGACCGAAGACATAGTTTTCTTTCATAACTAAGTGAGTCGTAAACTTTTTTAGGGATGGAGGAGGAATTGTGGTAAATTTTCACAGTATGAGACTTACAGTTTAGCCATTTTTAAGTATACAATTGAGTGCCATTAAGCACATTCACATAGGTGTACAGTCGTCACTACTATTACCACTTCCAGAACTTTCCTGCCATCCCAAACAGAAACGTTATTCCATTAAACAATAACCCCTCATTCTCTTCTCCTGCTGGCCCCTGGGAACCTCTATTCTGCTTTCTGTCTCTATGAATTTGCCAATCCTAGGAAACTCATATAAGTGGAATCATACAATATTTGTTCCTTTATGTCTAGTGTATTTTGTTTTCACGGTTTGTCCATGTTGTAGTATGTATCAGAACTTCATTGCTTTTTTTGTTTTTGTTTTTTTGTTAAGACAGGGTCTTGCTCTGTTGCCCACGCTGGAATGCAATGGTGCAATCATAGCTCACTGCAATCTTGAGCTCCTGGGCTCAAGCTATCCTCCCACTTCAGCCTCCTGAGTAGCTGAAACTACAGGCATGTGCCACCATGCCTGCCTATTTTTTTTATTTTTATTTTTAGTAGAGATGAGGTCTCACTGTGTTGCCCAGCCTAGTCTTGAACTCCTGAGCTGAAGTAATCCTCCCGCCTCAGCCTCCCAATTTGCTGGGATTTCAAGTGTGAGCCACTGCGCCCAACCGTCATTCCTTTTAAAGGCAGATTAAGATTTCATCATATGGATAAAACCGCATTTTGTTTATCCATGCATTCGTCAGTGAATTTTTGGGTTGTTTTTACCCTTTTTTTTTTTTTT